CTGGGTTTGGGCCTGCTGGGGGGCGAGGGGTTCGGCTGTTGCTTGACAGCTCCAGGGCTGCAGCAGCATTTGTGCGCCCAGCAGTCGCCCGCTGCTTCGAGGAGCACTATGAAACCGTGTGCTGTTCCGCCGCCGCCCCCAAGAATACGAGGGAATCTCCCACCGGGTGCTCGCATGGGTAAGGTTCCCCTCTGATACCATGTTGCGTTGGCGAGTGGCAGGGCTTACCCCAGGCAGCTGGGTACATAACAGCTGGCCATAAGCTGTTATCCCGAAGAGGAAGAGAAACACTAACTCTGACAGAAGAAGGAGCCGCCAAATGAGGAAGCGGAGGTGAGGGGAAGGAGCGAATTCCGGCGGGAAACCAGGGGAGGGCGCCAATATGATGCAGCATTGCCGGCCACTTCTGGTCTGGATCGTCTGGTTCGGCAGAAGGCGCTACGCAAATCAGATATGATGGTTCATCCATGCCCCCTTCTCATCCTTCCTCCGCTCTCCTTTCCTCCTCGTTGGTGTAGGCATCTGCTCGCGAAGGTCGCTTGCGCAGGTGCACTCCAAAAGGACTGGTCTGCACACGCGTGAACGCGAGGCTTCATAATTCATAATGCCCCTCTCCGCTATGGCTTAAAACTCCCATCGTTCCCGGCCCACCTCTTCCTGTTGTTTCCCTCCTCTCGTTACGCCACCGTGATCTGATGGCGTTGTAGCACGCTGAATCAGACCACTTGTCTGGAGGACTGGCACTTGCTGCAGCGCCTCCATCGCTGAAGAAAACAGTGGGAACAACATGCACAGTGGCAAGGGCCCTCCTCAGCACCTTCGGCCAAAGTGACGGAGAGGGGCAACGACCTCCATCCGCCGCGCCGGGCTCTCTCTTCTGCTCAGCTGGTGGCCTGGCGCTCGCTTCGCACGCCTCAGTGCCCCAACTGCGCCCGCCACAGACCAGCCAGCGGCACCGCGCAGCCCCGTGCAGAGCCCGGGCACCAGGGCCGATGCAGCTCTCGTCATTCGCCGGCGCGGACGGCGCAGAGGGCGGGCTCGCGCCGCGCAGCGCCGAGCAGGGGGCCGGGATCGACCACCCCCCGAGGCGCAGGCGCCCACGGAGGACGAGACGGACGCGAGGGACAGCGGAAGCCTCGTCTCCTCGGAGGACTGGCGAAGCAGAGGCTGACGCGAGCGGCAGCGGGAATGCGAGGCGGGGATTTAGCCATATCCACCGCCTGGGAACCGAGGTCCTGGCGCCCCAGCGGGCGGCGGACATGGATCTATGTCGGCCCCCCCGGGGGCCCGAATATGTCCATATACGCCGCCTGCCGAGGCTCCGAAAACTGACCCTCCAGGCGGTGGTCACGCAAAATTCACCGCCTCGGACCGTCTCTTCGGAGGACTGGCGAAGCAGAGACTGACGCGAGGTTGCGCAAGACGCGCAGGCCGCGACAGTCAAGAAGCACGTCGGAGCTCTGGGCTCCGTGGCGCAGCTTCTGCACCGCCACCTCCGGGACGAGCGCAGCGTGCTCCAGGAAGGCTCGGGCATCTGGGCGGCCGACATGCCTCTTGAAGCAGAAGCGCGCGTACGTACGTGTGCCCGTTTACGCCGCGAGCCACGGCGCGAAAACCGCTTTGCCATGAAGGCTGCCTCGAGAAGAAAAGTGCGTCCTCGAATGCATCGCGCTGCTGCAGTGTCTCCGCGAAGATATCGGAGGCCTTGCCCGCGTCCCCATTCCCCGCATCCAGGCGCAGCCGCACCACCCGCGGCGAGCACTATCCGAGCTGCCATTTTGGCACGCGCCCGCCCAGCAGCTTTGCTCTCGACCGCTGCACCCCCAGCAGCCGATGGCCACGCGGCATTGCCCACTCTGCCCCGTCGACGCAGCCGATGTTCCGGTCAGGGGGGACACCTCGCAAGAAGGCGGGCGCAGGCACCGAGGAGCCGGGCAACTGGACGACGCCTGGCTTCGGCGTCGACTCTGACCTTGGGCTTGCCACGCCGCGGAATGCAACAATAGAGGAAAAAAAACTGTGCACATACACCGATTCTGGCCAGGCCCATCCTGAGCCCAGTATCGGTGCATACGCCCTCCTGCCTTGGCCAGGAAGGCATATGCACCGATCCTGGGTCAAGGATGGGCCTTGCCAGGATCGGTGCATGTGCATAATTTTCTTCGCCCGAAACAAGACATGCTGAACATCAATCTCGACTGCGTACCGCCCGCCAGCTGGTTCGAATGGGTTGCAAGCCTGGCGCATCGCCCGAGGAACCGTGCTTGAACCCGAAACGGCTACAGGAGGAACGAAGCTTTTCTCTTGGCACCAAGAGCGCCTGGTTGCACGAGGAGCGCCGGAGGAAGAACCACGGAAGGGCCTTGGACCAAAAGGCTCCTTCAGAACCCCAACGTTTCCTTTCAGCGTCTCGACTGTACATCGTCTTGCTTCCGCTGGCCTTCCGCCGAGAGCGATGTGCGCCGACGGCTGGGCCGATTCTGGAATGCACCACATCTTTGGGGGACGCTGCCGGACCTTCCCTCAAAGCCCTTCTTGGGCTCCCATCGCTCTGGGCTCTGGGCCATGCGGTGCCGAAGGTGTGATTGTTTGTCGTGCCGCTGGCATCGGCTCTCCTTCCGGCTCCACATCTTGCCGCCCCTGGCTTTCCAGAAATCGATGAACTTCCTGACGCAAGTGGCCCTCCTGCCCTTGGTGCGAAGGTTCGGGACGGAGCTCTTGACGATGTTGAAGTACTCCTCGCTGGCCATAGCGAGGAGGGACCTGGAGTCGTCCTGGAACAGGAGCCTGAGCTGGCCAACGTAGATCCCCGCCGTGTCGTCTTTCATGGACGTACTGTCGACCAGCCACCTGTGAAAGGTGTAGGCAACCCTCGGGAAGAGGTCCGCGTCGTCCTGGGAGGCAGCAGCGATCTCCTCCATGCCCGTGCAGCGCCGCGCCCGCCGCTTTGCAAGCCGGCTGCCAGCAGTCTGCGGAGTCCGCGGGCAGGAAGTGACCAAGGGACAACCCAAGAAGGGGTCTGGTGCCCGGACGTGCGATGCCCTGGTGTTTTCAAGACGGAGTCCCCAGAAAACCCGACCCTTCCCCGGGACCAGTGTTTCATCCTGAGGCCCGGTGAAGGCCCCGAGGAGCCAACAAACGGACGGTTGACCTCCGCCGTGTTTCTGCTCGCGACGCGAGCATGTCTGGATGCACACAGGGGGCTCCCCGCGGGAAGGAGACCGGACGAGACCACCAGCAAGCTGGAAGCACGCGTACCCGGGCCCACGTGGGGAACACCCAGAGGTCGCTTGCCGGGTCCGGGTACGCGTGCGGCAGCCGGGCGCGCCTGGCCGTGGAGGGGCTGGGCGCTGGAAGAACATCTGGCCACAAATCACCGGTTCGGGCAACCCTGGGCCCAAAAGTAATGTCATCTCTTGGGGGCGCACGTTTTGCTTCCGCCGTCTTCCGCCCAATACGCCGCCAAGGAGCCCCAAGACGCTCCCGAGAAGCCCCCCAAAGCCCCCAAGACGGCCCCAAGAGGCCCCAAATAGCGCTCCAGGGCCGGCGGAATGAGCGAAGCGATTAAATAATGACATCTCTTGGGGGGGGGCGCACGTTTTGCTTCCGCCGCCTTCCGTCGGCATTCCGCCAACTTCCGCTGGCGGAGGCGGCCTCGCTTCGCTTCCGCCGGCTTCCGCCACGCTTTCGGAAGGCCACTGCCTTCCGCCGAGGACGAGATGCCGAGTCCTTCGATCCTCGAAGGCAAGCCTCTTTCTGGAGCGGCCCACGTGTAGTGAAGGCAGGCGATTCGGAACAGATTTCTGGGAGGACGATTAAGAAGACGGGCTCTGCAACCTGGTTTCGCCCAACAAACACGCCAAGAAACTCGACTGGTTGTTGACGGGTGAAGATTCCGATGGCACCCAGCCGAGCCGGGGGCTGGAATGTATTCATCATCTCCCTGGGCGCCGCTGCGTGATCACGCGCACTGGCCATGTTTTAATCATCACCCTGGATTATCCAGCTCTCGCCCACCTGCCCTGCCCTCCCTTGCCCCAAGGCCGCCCGCCCCCCAGTGGGCCCAAACCCCGCCGTGGGGCCATCCCTGGACTTCCAGCTGCGTGCCCTGGCCGTGAGCGAACACGTGGAGAAACATAAAGATACCCAGACCGCTACTCCAAGGACCGCCCCTGGGGCACGCTCCGACCAGGATTTTTCGAAGCGAATCCAGCCGTGGCGACGAGGGCCCCCAAGGAGGCCCAGGGCTACTCGAAGGACCTCCCCTGGGGCACGCTCCGACCAGAACCACTTATCAATGCGGACCCAGCCGTAGAGACGGGGACTCCCAGATCCTAGGAAGCCTGGGAGGGCAAAAACGACTGATGGGTGCGTAGAGGTATGGATACCCCGTCCCCCCTGCGAAGGTGAGCACCCGCTCGCCGGGCGGAACCGAGGACCCTCTGCGCCAACTGGAAGCCTTCCAAATGGGGAGTAAATGAAGTCGGAGGATCGCGCCGCCTCAGCAATTCATCGCCGATGCACCGGCGACGTCGGCGATTCGTTGGCGCTGTCGGCGTGGGAAAACTGTCTTCGCATCGAGTCGCATCGCCGATGCAGCGGCGATGCAGTCCGATCCTCCGATCCGATCCACTCTGGCCCCATCTAGACAAGGAAAAGACAGCACACACGCTGTCCCCAGTCAGGCTTTGCCTGGGGGGGTCTACTTACTCCAGATTTCGTAATAAAGGGAGGGGGGTCTCATTTCGGGGGGGGTCTCTTCCAGGCTATCTTGGAGGGCCTGGGGGGGTCTGGGGACGATGTTTGGGAGGGCTCTCCCACGGGGGAGGTCTGAAATGGCTTGTCTTGGAGGGTCCAGACCCCCTGCCTTTTATTACGAAATCTGGAGTACTCGGTGAAAGAAACGGGTGGGCGCGACGCCCCAATTCCCAAGCCTTGATCAGGTGCCCTGGTCCTTGGTCCTTGCATCGGCGACGCTCGGCGCTGCTCGGGCTCCCTGGGCCTGGTTCCCTGCACGGACGGCGCCCGGCGTTGCCTAGGTTCCCTGGTCTTGACGCACTGCTGCATGCCGTGCCCAGGTCACTGTGAAGCCTTGCCAAGCGATGCTCAGCAAGGCAAAAGCATCAACTTTTGGTTTGGAGGTCCGCGCGGATGCACAGTAGAAAATAGGAATGAGAAAACTATCAATTAAGAAAGCGGGGCCAGCTTTTCAGAAGTTTCTTAAGGAGACGCTGGGCCAGCTCTTGGAGCCAGGAACGTACGCTATTCATTTCTAGGGTCCAAGGCTATCAATCCCCTTGAGAAACTGAGCCAGCCTTCCAGCAAGCTGGTCAGGAATGCTTGATCAGATGCTCGACTGTACTGGATCGGCCCCCGAGGCTCCGCCAGGACGCCCGGCGCCGATTCGAGAACCCGCGCTGGGCTCCGCAAGGTTGTCGTTTGTGCCGCGTGTTCCTCTTCGAGGCTGGGCGGCCTGGGCCAGCTCCCCGCCCGCCCGCGGCGGCGCCAGCGCCAGGGTGACGAGATCTGTGCATACCCACTGCTCCTCCTCCTCCTCCTCCTCCTCCTCCTCCTCCTCACTCCTCCTCCTCCATCCTCCTCCTCCTCCACCTCCCCTCCTCCTCCTCCTCCCTCCTCCCTCCTCCCTCCTCCCTCCGCCCTCCTACCTCCTCCCTCCTCCCTCCTCCTCCTCCTCCTCCTCCCTCCGCCTCCTCCTCCCTCCTCCTCCTCCCTCCCTCCCTCCCTCCCACTCCTCCTCCCTCCCTCCCTCCCTCCCTCCCTCCCTCCCTCCCTCCCTCCTCCCTCCCTCCCTCCCTCCCCTCCCTCCCTCCCTCCCTCCCTCCTCCTCCTCCTCCTCCTCCTCCTCCTCCTCCTCCTCCTCCTCCTCCTCCTCCTCCTCCTCTCTCCCCTCCTCCTCCTCCTCCCTCCTCCTCCTCCTCCTTCCTCCTCCTCCTCCTCCTCCTCCTCCTCCTCCTCCTCCTCCTCCTCCTCCTCCTCCTCCTCCTGGCCAGGCCGATCCCGGGCCCAAGAACGATACACACGCCCTCCCGGCTTGGCCAGGGAGCCTGTAAACTGCTCCTAGGCCCATGATGAGAGGCCGGCCACATGGGGTCCGAGTAGATGGGGTCGGAAGATCGCGCCGCATCGCCGATGCAGATGAATCGGCGATGCCCCGGCGACGTCGGCGTGGAGAGCATCGGGCTCAACATCGAGCCGCCTCACCGATTCGTCGGCGAGGCGGCGCGATCCACCGACCCCATCTGCTCGGACCCCGTCTGGGAGGCCTGGGATGATCGGGCACACGCCGACATGGGTTGCGGATCCGTGAATCCGGCGCGTGGGCACCAAATCCACGGATCGGGGAAGTGTGCCCCCCCGGAAGAGGAAGCCCATGCTGCCCCATTCGGCGACGGAGCGCGTCGCTCTCGCATGGGGACGGGACCCATCGCTAATCCGCGCGCACTCATCGATTTGCCCGTTTCCTTGGAGATCGCGGACGAAAAACGTATTCGTATCCGCGGCCTCGCAGGCCGGGCCCTTGGGCCGCGACCCCGCGACGATGGGGCGTTCTTTCGTGGATGCACCGCGCGGAACGTGCCCGTGCGACCACGCATCCGCGGGATCGCGCCCTGGAATCCGGACCACGAGAGCGTGGATATGAATACATTCGCTGCTCGTGAACGAGGGGCGAAAGATAGGGAGGGGAGCTCAGGCGGGGAAGCATCGACCTGGAATCGGCGATGCATCGCCGGTACATAGATCGGCGATAGGCCCTCGATAGCGGAACCGCATGGTCCTGGGCGGGGTGGGCTATCAGGCCACTACTGACGATCAATGGGCGCTTAACGGTCAATGCATCCCCCCCTGGGCCCCATCTCCCCCTCTGACGTTGCCCCTGATCTTCGACTCCGACCCCGATCCTCGACCTCTGATCTTCGTGTCACAACTCGGACCCCCGGCGGCCGTGCGGGACGATTCTAGCAATCCCGGAACGCTCTCGGCGAGGCGCAGCCGCTGGAGAGCACCCCGAGGCTGTAGAAGCGTCGGGGGGTGACGAAGACGCCCGAGCACCTCGAATCCCATCCCCCCCGAACGCTGCTCCGACCGCTGAGCCCTGAGTGAAGGGGGGGGCAGCGGATGTGCACGGGCCTCGTCGCCCCAGCCGCGCCCACCTCGGGCGGGGCGCACGGCGCACGCTTTGAGCAGGGGCCGACCGTCCCGGCATTCCTATAGTCCCACCACGAAATGTTCTTAGAACCCAAAAATGTTCGAAGAACAAAGACAAGGTTCCTAGAACATAAGCCCGATGTGTTCAAACAAGAAAGTCCCAGCCAGAAATGCTCTAAAGAACATTCCGTGGGGGGAACGCAAAGGGCTCTTAGAACACTGTTCGGTAGCGCCATGGGCGAGCCAGGACGCCTCGCCACTGCTCCGCAGGCTCCGCACCCCAACGGCGGGAGGCAGGCGCCGACCCGTGCGGCGCTGGCGCGCCCGCCCCCGCGGCCGGGGCCCTCGGGCCAGGCGGGGGGGAGGCGCGCGGCGGCGGCCGAGGCGAGGGCGGGGCAGGAGCGCCCCCTCCTCCTCCTCCTCCTCCTCCGCCTCCTCCTCCTCCTCCTCCTCCTCCTCCTCCTCCTCCTCCTCCTCCTCCTCCTCCTCCTCCTCCTCCTCTCCTCCTCCTCCCGCTCTCCTCCTCCTCCTCCCCCCTCCTCCTCCTCCTCCTCATCATCCCTCCTCCTCCTCCTCCTCCTCCTCCTCCTCCTCCTCCTCCTCCTCCTCCTTGCCGTCGCTCGGGCACCCGTCCCTCGTGCCTTCTCTTCGACCTCGTGCGTGCCTTCTTCTTCTCTTCGCGGAGTCCTCCGGGATGCCCCCTCCTCCACGGTCCTCGCCGAGGGAAGCAATACACAGGTCCGAGCGCTGCCAAGAATCGGGGACCTTATGAAACCGGGTCAATCCAGACCCGGGTCGGCAGGAAACCCAAAACTGCAATGCAGGAAAAAAAAACTACAACGCAGGTCTTCGCAAACCCGGTCAGCCAACATGTGCGGCCGCCTCGCGGCCACGAGCGGCTCGCTTGCCCGGGTCAGCCAGAGGGGGTCTTCGCAGGATCCCGCAGGATCCGGTGCCGTGGCTGACCCCCGTTTGCATTGACCCCCGTCTCAAGGCTCCCGAAAGAACTCGGGAGCGGCGAAGAGGTGGGTGTCCAAGAGGGGGAGGTGCAAATCATGACCGGCGGCATGTGCGCGGCCCAGCGGGGAGGCCAGGGACGTAATGAAATAAGAAGAGGCGCCATGAACTCTGGGGAAATATCCTGGCCCACGCCACGATATCCACCCCCCTCCTAGTCATCACCCCCCTCTTTGCCGTCCCCGCAGAACACTGCGGCCTGGACGCGGGGGCGCGACCCCCCGCGGACGCGCCGCCGCGCGGGCACGCTCCGCGCGGTGCCCCCGCGAAGAGGGGCCCGCCCCGTGTCCGCGGGCTCGCGGGTGCGGACGTGTGTTTATCGCCCGCGGCGGAGGGCCACACGGGCTCCCAACGTCGCGCTGCGCGCTGCGCGGAGCGCGGCGTGCGGAATAGCTGCGCGCTCCCTCGCGCCGCCTCCCAGGGGGAAGAGGAGGAGGAGGAGCCATCCGGGCCGAAGCGCGGAGCGCGAAGCGCGAGTCACTTCGCGCCCTCGAGGGTGCCCGTGGGGCAAGACGAGGGCAGAGCAGGAACGGAGCAGAACGGCCCCCGCGGGCGGGAAGCGTGTGTTGTAACCAGGGGGGGCGAGCGCTGGACTTGACCGCCAGACGCCTTTCAGATGCGGCCGAGCCCCACTGCTGCAGGGGCCCAGCGGCACACACAGAAATAGACACCAATGCCAGGATCCCCCACGTTTTCACATACTTTCTGGGTTCTCGTGTTCCCCCCCACTGTCCATAGTTTCCCATATGCTCCTAGGCATCGGCGATTGATTGTGTCTGTGTGTATTTCTCCCTTCCCCCTGCTCTGGTCCATGGCGTACCTTGTCCTGTGCAAGATCTTCGGCACCGCCTGTTTTCTGAGCCCTCTGGCTGCCTGGGGCCCCGCCCGCCCGCGCCCTGTCTCCCCCATCAGGGCTACCCGCGTCCCGTTCAGCTCTTGACCGGAAGGGGCCCGCTCCCGACCCGCAGACCAAAAAAGTGTGTTTCTCCCTTGCGGCGAGCGACGGCGCTTTCCGTAGCACCGCCCAGGCTTTCCGCCTAGACCCGGGGGAGCAGAACCAGCGGAGGCGAGGCCCACCGCCGATCCTCCTCCTCCTGCTCCTCCTCCTCCTCCTCCTCCTCCTCCTCCTCCTCCTCCTCCTCCTCCTCCTGCACTGTCCAGAGCAAGCTGTGGTGAAGCCGAGACGTGACATGCCCAGCGCAGAGCACTCACAGCAGCAGCAGCAGCAGCAGCAGCAGCAGCAGCAGCAGCAGCAGAGAGAGAAGTGAGCCGGCGGCAGGGGGAGGAGGCAACGGGGAAGAGCCGGAGAGCGGCGAGGGCGAGCAGCGAGCATACCTCGCGGGCGGGAGGCGTGTCTCTGAAGGGGCCCCAGGACACACAAATAAATGCACACAAATAAAAAGATTCCCCACATGTTCCCATATGTTCTGGGTCTTTGTCGTCCCCCCCACACTTCCCATATCCTCCCATATTTTCCGGGGGAGTCGACGATTAATTGTGTCTGTGTGTTCGCTTCCCTCCTGAATGTCCCTGGGGGCAGGAAAGGGGTATGGTATAGAGGGGTGCGGTGCGAATTTCAGGTAAAGGGGACTCTGGCGATGCTACTCATCGCAGGTGGCATCGCCATTGGGCGGGAGACGTGTCTCTGGGGGCAGGAAAGGGGTATGGTAGAAAGGGGTGCGGTGCGAATTTCAGGTCAAGGGGCCTCTGGCGATGCTACTCCTCGCAGACAGCATCGCCATCTCCACGACTGGCACCACAATAACCCCCTTCATGCCCCACCCCTTGCCGACCTCCAGAACACGGAGGTGCCTGCGCGGGCTCCGCGGGCGGGCGCCGGGACGCCGGCCCGTGGGCGCCGAGAAGAGCAGGGCCTCACGCAGGATGGCACGGCAGCCTGACGCGGCGCGTCGCCAGCGGCCTGCGCGGGTCGCCAGAATTGGCGGCGCGCGCAAGGGGGCGGGGGGGGGGGGGGGCTGCTTCTTAGAAGAGCTGCTTAGGAGGAGGCCCGGCCTGACTCTATAGATAAGCCCGCGAGCTTTCTGAGAAGCGCGGTGCTTCTAAGAAGCCCTCCCCCTCCCCCCACCCCCCTCTGCGCGTGGCTGACGGAAGCGGGGGAGCTCATGCGTGACCTCGCGCGGGCGGCTTGCGCGCCGCTGCTCCCGTGAAGACGGCCCCGAGTTCTCCCCCCCGCTCCTGTGAAGAGAGGTGTGGGCTTAGTGGGCCCTGGAAACGACAGGGCCGTTTTTTCACCGGTTCCGTTTTGCCGTTTTCTTGCCGGTTCCGACGCCGTTTTTGCGGTTCCGTCGCCGTTTTTTGACCGGTTCCGGCTCCGGTTCCAATCCTGGAGCCGTTTTTTTGCCGTTTCCGGTCGCCGTTTTTTTCTGCCGTTTCCATTTTCAAGGGACACTCTTTTTTGAAGCGGTGAAAAAACGGCCCTGCCGCTTCCAGGGCCCACAAAGTGTGGGCAAGGTGCTGGCCGCGCACGCTGGGCAGGCCGCTCAAAGACACGGCGGCAGGACGAGGACGAGCCCTGAGGAGGAGGGCCTGCTCGTGGCCGGGGCTCGCCGTGGCCAAGAGAGCTTCTGCGTTTCCTCTCTGGCGTTCCTCGTGGCAGCGCGATGGCTGCGCCCCCCTTCCCCATCGCCACTCCTCCCTTCGCCACTCTCCCCCATGCGGCCCCTCTCGTTTTTTGGCCTCGCAGACTCAAATCTGATCTGAAATCTATCCGTCTTGCCTCCCACGCGTTGGGAGCGTGGACTCGCCACCGGGGGGACGAAAAAAAATAAAAGATCAAAAGAAAAAGACATTGGTAAAAAAAAAAGCTGCTAACAAAAAACTAAGTAATAATTAAAATACAACATTTTCACAAAATCAATAAAAAGACATTAAAAGTATAAAAATAAAAAAATTAAACAAAGAGAAGGATTAAACATCAAAATAATAAAAAAAAAAAAAAAGTAAGAAGAATTAAACTAATAATAAAAAACATAAAAAACATATAATAAAAGAAAATTAAAAAGAAAAATTGCTAAGAAAAATAAAGCTAAATGAATAAAAAAAAAAAATAATGAAAAAAAAAAAACAATAAGAGTCTTAAATAATAATAACCTATTAAGCCCCTCAGCTCTGAGGCTTGGCCCAAACAGCCTACGGAAGAACAGCGAATGATACAAAATCTGCCTTATTTCGTATCCCCCATGCGGCCCCTCGTCTCTCCCTCGCGGTTGCGTACTCCACGCCGCTGCAGCAATCACCCAGCAAAACAAGGCCAGGACGGGGACGGCATCGGACTGGGAAAAATCGGGGATCTCTGAGAGCAAACGGGTCTGAAGGACATATCGTATCGGGCGCCGCGGCCGATTCTGGAGCATTCCAAAGCGCTCTGAAGGCGTTCCGGAACGCTCTGGAGCAATTTGACTCTCATTCTAGGCCTGCATGAGATGGGCAAACAAAACCCATGATCGAATCGGGCGATTGTCTTCCCCCCCACTTCCCATATTTTCCCATGCTTTCTGGGGAATCGACGATTAATTGTGTCTGTGTGTTTTTCCCCTCCTGACGCTTTCTCATCGGCCTTCGGAAGCAGGCTCCGGGTACTGGGGCCAGAACGACGCGGTGTCAAGATGAAAGGTCGGCCTCCAGAAAGGGGTCGAGAGGCCAGGCGTGCTGTCTGGGGATGGCCCCGGAAGGTCCTGGGCAAACCAAGCCTGTGCGTTCCACGTGCCCATGTCAGAATCTCCAGCACAAGGTCCATGCCGCGCCGCTGTACCATCGGCAGGCGCAGGCGGCGGCGTCCAACGCGCGAGCATTTCAGATTGCCGACGGGGTGCAGCGCCCAAGACGTGACGAAGCCGAGCACGCCGATTTGCACACAAAGAGGTAGTTGAATCGCGTGCATGCTGAGATCGAGAATGAGGCACTGGCTGGTCTCCCCGAGGAGTGAGAGGAGGCCGCGGAGGCCGAGGGAAGCGGCAGTCGAAAGGGCGACGGAGCCCCACGCAGGTGCGGCGCAGCCTCCCGGGCAGAAGAGCGCGGACGAACGCCAGCGTCAGTACAGTCGGGGCCTTGACCTAAGGAACCCTAAGTAAGGAACGAGGCCCCTTTGTTCCATAAGTGAACCTTCGATTTCCTATCGAAAACAGAAGGACAGCCTGAGGCAAGCTGTGAAACACTGAAGGAACGCGGAGCCCCTCCCCTGAAAAGGGTTCCTTCTTCAGGGCCCCGACTGTAGCAGGAGAAGCGTGAGAAGGAGAACGGCGAGCACGCCGAGAGAGCGCGGGCGGAACGGGGCGGTCCTCCCTGGCAGCTGCCATGCCAGCACCGGCGCCGGGCGTGCAGCGTCCAGGGCTTGAATGGATGGCTGCGGCGATCACGACTTCAGCAACCCAGGCATACACGTCGTTCATTTCTAAGCGTGCTCATTTCTAACTGTGCTCGTTTCTACTTGTTCCTGGCCCCCTAGTGGCCAGGAAGAGGCCCAGGATATAACAGTTAGGAGTGAAAGGATCTTGGCCCCCCAAAAGATCAAAGACCTTTCGAAGGATTAGGAATGAACGGTGAAACTCCCTATGGGGCCACGACACGTGTGAGGGGTGGGCCATCAAGCGTGTGAGGGGTGTGCCAGAATAGGTGCGGTGGGCGCATGCGAACGCAGCCACTGGGGGTTTTCGGTGGAACTCCCTATGGGGCCACGAAGGATGTGAGGGGTGTGCCGACATGGGTGCGGTGGGCGCATGCGAACGCAGCCACTGGGGCCTTCGGTGGAGCTCCCTATGGGGCAACCGAGCGTGTGAGGGATGTGCCGACATGGGCGCGGTGGGCGCGTGCGAACGCAGCAATTTGGGTTTTCGGTGGAGCTCCCTGGGCCACGCAACGTGTGAGGGGTTTGCCGAAATGTGCGCGGTGGGCGCATGCGAACGCAGCCACTTGGGCCTTCGATGGAGCCCCCTCATGGGGCCACGAAGCGTGTCCAGGGTGTGCCGAAATTGGTGCGGTGGGCGCATGCGAACGCAGCAAATGGGAGTTCTGGTGGAGCTCACTGTGGGGGGCACGAAAAATTTGAGGTTGTGCCGAAACAGTGCAGTGGGCGCATGCGAACGCAGCCACTGGGGCCGTCGGTGGAGCTCCCTATGGGGCAACCAAGCGTGTGAGGGGTGTGCCGAAATGGGCGCGGTGGGCGCATGCGAACGCAGCCACTCGGGCCGTCGGTGGAGTTCCCTATGGGGCCACGACACGTGTGAGGGGTGTGCCGAAATGGGTGCGGTGGGCGCATGCGAACGCAGCCACTGGGGGTTTTCGGTGGAACTCCCTATGGGGCCACGAAGGATGTGAGGGGTGTGCCGACATGGGTGCGGTGGGCGCATGCGAACGTAGCCACTGGGGCGTTCGGTGGAGCTCCCTATGGGGCCACGACACGTGTGAGGGGTGTGCCGAAATTGGCGTTGTGGGCGCGTGCGAAAGCAGCCACTGGGGCCTTTGGTGGAACTCGCGATGGGGCCACGAAACGTGTGACTGGTGTGCCGAAGTGGGTGCGGTGGGCGCATGCGAACGCAGCCATTGGGAGTTTCGGTGGGGCTCCCTGTGAGGCCACAAGCGTGTGACTGGTGCGCCGAAATGGGCGCGGTGGGCGCATGCGAACGCAGCCACTCGGGCCTTTGGTGGATTTGCCATAGGGGCACGAAACGTCTGAGGGGTGTACCGAAATGGGTGCGGTGGGCGCATGCGAACGAAACCATTGGGGCATTCGGTTGGGCATCCTATGGGGCCGCGAGACGTGTGTGGGGTGTGCCGACATGGGTGCGGTGGGCGCGTGCGAACGCAACCACTCGGGCCTTCGGTGGAGCTCCCTGTGGGGCCACGAAGGGTGCGAGGGGTGTGCTGAAACGGGTGATGACGATGATGATGGAGGAAGGGGGGGAGGGGGAAGAGGAACGAAGGAGGAACGAAGGAACGCGTGGAGCGTCTCTAGAAAACGAAGACCCAACACCACAAGATGGTTGGGAAACGTACAAACAACAACCTAGGGACAATGACTGGTGTTGTTTGCCGGCCCACCCTTGCATGGGTTCTCGTTTTGAATACGGCAATGGGGTCGCCGACCCCATGTTCATGTTATTGTTCCTTTTCCTCCCGCCCTCTGTCCTCCTCTCGTCTGCCTGCGCCTGTCTGCACCTGACTGCTGGCGGAGCCAAATCTGACCCCCTCTTGCCTGCCTGTTGAGAGGCCAGCACACTGGGGCCCCACGCAGACCCAAACGGTACCTCGCCATCCCTGGGGGGGCTGCGACATGTGAAAGCGTTGCCATTTTCGAGGGCTGCTGGGGGGCGCCAGCACAGTGGGGCCCCACCCAAGCCCAAGCTGGACCTCGCCATCCCTGGGGGGGGAGTGCGAGGTGTGAAACTGTCGCAGCTTTCGAAGGTTGTTGCGGGGGGGGGGGCAGCACAGCGGGGCCCCACGCAAAACCAAACGGGGCCAACCCATCCTTGGGAGGCTGAGAAGTGTGAAACTGCCGCCGCTTCCTGGGGCTGCTGGGGCGGGGGGGCAGCACAGTGGGCCCCCACGCAAATCTAAACGATACCTCGCCATCCCTGGGATGCTGCGAAATGTGAAAATGCCGTCACTTTCGGAGCTGCTGGGCGAGGCAGCACAGCGGGGTCCCACGCAAGCCTCAACGGAACCTCGCCATCCCGGGGGCGGTGCGAAATGCACGTTTGAAGGCTGCTCCTGCTGATCCTGCAAGATCCTGCAGGATCCAGCACCCAAACCCGGGTCAACGCGACCCTGTCCCTGCAAGATCCTGCAAGATCCGGCGCTCTGGCTGACCCCCGTTTGCATTGACCCCCGTCGCGAGGTTCCCGACTCGAATCCCGACCCGTTCCCCCGGGCCAGCTCTTCATCCTGAACAACTTGTTAAGGCCCCGGGGCCTGGCGAGGGCCCCGCAAAGGCCGAAGAGATGGGCAAAACCTTGCGCAACGTAACTTCCATAGGGGGTTTGTTCCATGCGCTGGAGGTCGGCAGGAGCAGGAAAGCCTGGCAATCTTGCAACGTAGCCTCACCACGACCTCTTGCGCCTCTGACCTGCAAGATCCCTCGGCACCGACTCGGGAAACCTGCTCGGATCGGACCGTGCGTCGGATCGGCCCGCATCGACGCGGCGTCGGAATCGAATCGGGCAGGCTGCGCCAGCATGCACAGCAGCACCGTGCGAGCATCGGGCCGCATCGGACCGTCAGAATATCGGAATCGAGTCGGATCGGGCCGGCCGACATTGATACCAATCGGGGATGGACAGACCTCCCTTTAGTAAAACGTGGTTTGGTGAAAACGACCTGAGGCCCAAACCTGGCGGGCGCAAGCCTGGAAAACAACGGCCGCGGCGCCCTCTCGAGAACCGAAAACGGACAATTCACTAATCGACGTGTCACTGTTGAGGGTTCTGTCCGCCCCCGAACCAAGACGCGCAAAGTCCTGAGCTTTCAAATGCGGGGGTCCCCGGGAGTCCTGGCTAACCCTTGCCCAGGGCCCCAAGGCCGGTGTTCCATCCCAAGCCGTTCTTTGGCGGTCCCGGAGGCCGAAAACGGCCACAAGCATCCCGCCGTGACGTGTTCGTAGCGCTGGCACGTCTGTTCCGGGTGCTGATCGGATCGCATCGGTCGCATCGGAAGGGGCCCTGACGTGTGGCCGCTGTCCTGCTGGCCCCTTCGGGGCTCGGACCGCGCCCGTGCGTGCCCATTCCTTCAGGTCGGGCCTGCCCCCCTAGGGGCGGCGCCGGAAGCGCTGCCAGGAGGAGCCAGAAGGGGTCCAAAAAATCCGCGCGGAGCGCCAAAAAAACAATGCTTATGTCGTTTCCTCCTTCTTCGGCATCTGAGAGCGCCACGCTTCTCTCCGGCGCCGTCCGAGAAAGGCCAGAGGTAGCTCCTCCTCCTCCTCCTCCTCCTCCTCCTCCTCCTCCTCCTCCTCCTCCTTTCTCCTCCTCCTCCTCGGTCCCCAGGCGGCGCCCGGCGCACGGCGCAGCCCCTCGCTCGCCTCCCCCCGCGGAGCGGCCCGCGGCGCGAGCGGGGCGGGCAGCGGCGGGGAGCTGGGGCCCGCGCCCCGCAGGCGAGCGAGCAGGCCTCGAGGGGGCCCAGACTAGCTCGTCCTCCTCGTCCTCGTCCTCCTCCTCCTCCTCCTCCCCTCCTCCTGCTTCCGCCTCCTCCTCCTCCTCCTCCTCCTCCTCCTCCTCCTCCTCCCTTCTCCTCCTCCTCCTCCTCCTTCCTCCTCCTCCTCCTCCTACCTCCTCTTTCTCCTCCTCCTCCCCTCCTCCTCCTCCTCCTCCTCTTCCTCCTCCTCCTCCTCCCTCCTCATCCTCCTCCTCCTCCTCCTCCTCCTCCTCCTCCTCCTCCTCCTCCTCGCCGGGTCCCCAGACACCCAGGGGCCCAGGGACGCCCGGACATCCCAGACACCCAGACACCGAGGGGGCCAGGAGAGACCAGAATCGAATCGATAAGTCGGCTCGGCGATCGAAATGAATCGGATCGGCGGAAATCGGCAGCCGAGTCGGAAAAAGTCGAATCGGCGGAAGTCGGCAGGCTAGTAGGCCTCCGTTGAGAAATCGGAGCCCAAATCGGAATCCCGAGTCGAATCGGATCGGAATCGGATGCAATCGAAATCGAATCGAATCGAATCGGAGGAGTCGAGATGAGCCCTGGCCAGGGGCTCGCCGGATCCCGAGACACCGGGGGGCCCAGGGACGCACAAATAGATACAGTCGAGGCGTTGACCTAAGGAACCCCAGATAAGGAACGAGGCCCCCGTTTTTCCATAAGTTAAACTTCGACGTCCCATCGAAAACTTGAGGGAAACCTTGGGCAAGGTGTGGAACAAGTAAGGAACACCGAGCCCCTCCCCAACGCAAGGGGTTCCTTCTTCAGCGCCCCGACTGTAGACACAATCCCAGGATTCCCCATATGTTCCCATCTTTTCTAATTTCCGTCGGCCCCCTGCGTCCCAGATTGTCCCATAGTTTCCTGGGAGCCGGCGATTCATTGCGTCGGTGTGCTTTCCCCTCCTGGCAGGCATCCATCCCCAACCATCTAGCCCTGAAGTCCAGGCGTTGTGATTCCTTCACACCGGGCGGTTTCGCCTGATTTCGGACCCCTGGGCCATCACAGATCGATCTGGCTCGAACATATGACGCAGAAAGATGTTGAACTGTTCCGCAACAAATCAAAACAGAATGGTTTTCGCTGTTTTCGGCCTCCGAGGGCCCTCGCCTGACCCCAGTGGCCGTCCAAAACGACGCAGGATGAAGTGTCGACCTGGGGGGAGAAGAAG